GTATCGCTGTAGAAAATTTTATTAAGGATTGATATTAGATTTTACATCTTACATTTACCAAATGGAATATACATATATCACTATACATATACATCACTATTTTAACTCGACGACAGTTACGTTGTCTAGAAAATAGAAGCTATGCAAAACAGTGCGGAGTGTAATGATAATCAGGACTTGAATCTGTGCAAAACGGATATGTACATAAAACATAATAAATATACATGTGAGTGATAATTATACGAATGAACAAATAGGTTCATACATATATACGAAAGATGAAATACGTATTAAACTATAATAAACTGGTGTTTTTATTCATTAGTTACTGATAATGTATTATGTGTTCAGTATCTTTTCGAACTAGTTTGGTTGTTTTTAAATTTATGCGTCATTAAGAAGAATTATATACTGGAATATCTCGAGTTTTATTTTTATCATCACACTTTCATACAATTTTACAGTAATTGTGCGAGCGCGCGCGCGCGCGCGCGTGTGTGTACTTGATTAGTTCAGCTGTTATTCAGATCCAATAATCTCGATTCACAGTCTCGCGTAAAGGAACACCATAATGTCGCTTGCGCATTACTGTGTCTCTTGCTATATTTGAGTGTGTGAACACTACTAAATTATATTTCCTTAAATATATAACATTTCTCATTTTACCTCAACAAGTATATTAAATCTTTTCAAAGCACAATTATAATTTTATTACATGCAAAGTGTTAGTATACTAATTTTTTACATTATTTATATGATATATTATATTTTTCTTTATGTAATATTCGTCTTTATTTATTTAGTACATTTGGAAAAAGTTGTTTAGCAAGCATTTAAAGTACTATTTATATAATGAAAAAAAGGTTTCTGAAAATGTTGATTTTTTGTTTTCTTGAAGATACCTCGTTATTTGAATTATTTTATTAGAAATTATTAAGAAATATCAAGGGTGAGCAAATAACAAGTGCCTCACTCTACTACAAAATATTACAAAATTCTACTGATAAAAATTTTTTAATACGTATACTTTATCAATAGATATAATAATCCTGACACTTTATGTCGGTAAAATTTTGTGAAATTTTGTATGTGAACTTATAATAATCTATATATGAATTCTGTATAAAAATGAATTACTCTCGATAGTTAAGTAACACAAATTCTATAAGAATAAACTAGTTAATTATACATATACTATATAGAACATGTTGTGATGTCAATAAATAAAAATATCATGACATCGTTAACTTGAAAATCAATAACTTGAATGGATTTTATAATACTATGTCGTGAATTTTACATATTTATTAAAGGAAGTATCATTCGCGAAGTGTGCTTGTGTGAGTTACCAGTGTTGTTACGAAAATATTAAGAAAAAAATGAGATACGATCATCGGCTGTGGTTCTTTGTACATGTGTTGTGTTATTACAAAACAGTATTTACTAAGTACAACACATTACCTGATTTAATATTGTTATAATTGTTACATTGCAATCGCTTGTAAGCTTATTGGACGCACCTTATCGTAAAGAACGTAACTTATAAAATAAAATTAGTGTAATTAATAGGCATGTGTACATATATGCATAAGTATATACGTCTTTTTATTATAACATAACATATGCGATGTTTGTCTAAATGTGCCACAACGAGCTTTTATTTATCGACTTGACTATCACTTACCCTCAAAGTTGTCAACCTTTACTAATTAATGAAGAGTCTGTTTTTTAAAGTAATAGTTGGACATACAATATTATACTTATACATGATGCGGTCATTTAAAAATTATAGCAAAATAAAAATTCTTTATGCTTCAGAATTACAAAAGTTGGAAGAATATATTTGTTGTTATTTTATAAATAGTTTATATTTTAATTATAAGGATATTGCGCGATATTCCAAACTCTCCGTAAATCTGTGATAACTTTTTACTATCGAATTAACAATATTAATTTTTTAAACTTATTGAAACGGATACACGGATGGTTTAGTTTAATTTATAATTAAAAATATATGCATAATATATACTGTAGAGCTTGTGTTAAGACTGCAATGCTTTAGTAAGTATAGTCAATGTTATGTAACATTGGAATAATTAAATTTATGTTTGTAAAAGAGAAAATAAAGGTTCATTTATTGTCAATGTCAACTAATATTAATATTGTGCTAATATTAATACATATTAAATATTTAACACTATTTAAAATATAATTCGCTGAAAGATTAATGTAAGCTTATTAATTATAATAAATTTCTTAAAAATGTTACAAAATTGTATTGTTTTTTGTTGACATTCTGTTGTTTGTTTTTTTTTAAATCTATATATTATATATATATATTTATAATTTCTTGATACAGATACGAGACATTCTGATGTAATGATACGATAAAAAGAAGTCATTGAATAATATTGTGCTTTTATTAGTATTTTGTTTTATATATATATATATACATCATATAAAATATTTAAAGTGTACCTAGGTAGCAAACTGTAGTCATTTTGACATCGATAGTTAATCATTTTGAATTGTTGATGTCATATGATCTACTTAAGATGTAATAATGATGTTATCTTTTTTACCAATTAATGACGTTATTTATTTATGACGTATTTATAGTGTCATACTTATTGATGTCAGATAAATGACTAGTCGATTACATATTGATAATGTTATTGATCAGTTAATAATGTCATTTATTTACGTCATTAATAATACGAAAATAATGACGTATTTTCGATGTTGATTTATTTGTTATGCAGCTATGACAAATCCACATCATTTTTACGATGATAAAATGTTATATTCGTTAAGAACAATTAATTAAGTTGACCAATTAATTACGTTAAATAAACAATATCTTGCTACCAAGGTAAATTTACACAATTAGTGTACAACACGATATTTAATGATCAAAAAAAGATCATATTACTTTTTTTTAATTTTTATTATATATATATATATATAGTGCTCTTGTGTGAAGCAGACTGAATTGAGTCGAAAAACCCTCCACAATTTTCGCAATAGGTAACAGGATATTAATTATTAAAAATCGCTGAATATTGATTTTCAATAATTTTTTACTTAAATACTATCAACTTTACAGAAAAGCAGCGAGAGATAAGAATTATTTATTTTCTTCTCATAAAGTTCTGAAAATTTTTTCAGAATTTTTTGATATCGTATTTTCTCATGTTGGTAAAAATCTAAAAATAGTCGCTAATAAGAAAATGTAATACTAAAAAGTTGATAAAAAAATTCTGAAAAAATTTTTGAAGTTTTATGGGGAAAAAACAATTTTTGTCTCTTGTAGTTTTTCTGTAAAGTTGATAGTATTTGAGAAAAAAAATTATTAGAATGGAATATTCTATTCGAAGACTAATATTCGGTAATTTTTAATAATATCTTGTTAATAACTATTGTGAAAATTGCAAATGATATAGGACTTTTCGATTGAGTTTAGTCCGCTGTATTTATACAAGAGCGCTTGGCAAAAAATTTTGGGACACTGTGTATATACATATATGTTTTGTGTGTGTGTGTGTGTGTGTGTGTGTGTGTGTGTGTGTGTGTAGTATACATATATATATCAGAATTTAAAAAAAATAACGCGTTACCGTTATAGTTAATTTTTAAAGTTAAAAATAAGAAGTTTTTGTAATAACGTGGATCCAGATATGGTGAACGCTAAAGTCACGTTCTTAAAGTAAAGTCCTTTTCTTAATTAGTTGTTAAAAAGAAGATAACGTGACCTTAGCATTCACTGTATTTAGGTAAACAATAGTATTGCAAAAATTTCCTATTAACTCGATATCGTTACTTGAAAAAATAACGAATCACTTTCGGGAAATTGTTGAGTTTAGCTTCCATACGATATTGATAAAATTAGGTTCCTTCAATGCGTTTTTGCACAAAAAACAACCGAATTTGATAGAAACAATCATTGGAAATTAAATTCAACAATTATTGAATTTAAATTAAATATTGTTTTTAACTTTAATGTCATTATTAAACATGTATATTTCAAGATTTACTTTCAGTACTGAAAATCCGTATATATAAATTATAGATTAATTATATAATAGTAATATAAATTATAGATTTTCAACACTGATAATAGTAATTACCGGAATGGAGTCTAAGATATAAAATATAAAATATTTTAAGAAATATATAGAAATGAGAAAGTAAACATTTTATAATTATATTTATTACAAATGATAACCGTTTATTATATATAATACAATGTTAAATTGTAAATATATACTATACATACACAT